AGGTCAACTTTAAAATTTGACCTCAGGTCAAGGTCATGACCTTACCGGAAAAGGTCATGATGCATATCAGTCGATGCGTCTGAACAAGACAAACACAATGAGACCATCCCCAGCGTTCTATCTCTTTCCAATCGCGAGTTATTGGCAAAAAACTGTTTGTAGCCTCAAGTGACCTCGGATGACCTGTCTAGAGGCTATCAGCAAAAATGACACCTTGGTCATCACGAGTGGACTAAATCATTGTGATTCTGAAATATTTGGACTGTTCCAATGCGTACACACGGATCTAGAGGCATTTTCATTTTTCTCCATTGACTTGTAATGGAGAGGTCACGCCACTAACCTGACCTTAGGTCACGGATATAAAAAAATCCGAGATATACAAATTGTAGGCGCCCATAACAGCATGCAATCCACCACGTTTCAAACCTTTCTGACAAACACTGCAGGCTGGACATGATTGCAAACTAGTTTTAGGCTTGGTCAGTTAACTTGACCTGGTGACCTGACCTGACATGACCTGGGGTCAAAAATTTCACACATTGTCCAAAACTGAAGTACCAAAAGCTACCTTAAGCGGCGCGGCGCTACGCGCCGCGGTTTTTTATTCACACGCAAAAAACACGACAGGGTGGTAACATATGCCCCCCCACTGGGGCGAGGGTTAACCCGCGCCCCACTGGGGGGGGGGCTATTCATAGCCCCCTCCCGTTTTTCTGCAGTAACTTCCAAAGCACTTGACGTATCGACGCCAAACTTTCAGTACCTTTCGGCTGATCAATTTGACATCTTGTGTCAAAATTTAAACTTCGTAGCTACCATAGGTCGGCCGGAAATGACGTCAGAGTGACGTCATGTTCGGCCGATTTCGACGCAAAACATTGAACCACGGCAATCGCTCCCAAGAGCTCAGTTTTTAACCCGCGCGGGGCTGGGGTCTCCAGTCGAACGCGCGGGGCTGGGGGGAGGTAAATTTTACCCCCCCCCCCTGTTATCTCCCGAACTAATGGTCCAATTTGGAAAATTCAAACGCCAATCGAGAGATCTCATCACGAACAACTAAAAACTTGTACTTAATTTTAAGTTTGAGGTCAAGGTCAAGGTCAGGTCAAGGGTACAAATTGCAAGTTCCTACAGTATCGGCCTTGCACCGTAGTTGCCGAAGAATGGAGTCATGGACTGAGACTGATCGCCCAAAACGTGTTCTTAGGCTACCAAGACAATATCCGTTGCATACAATATCATTCAGAGGTCAAGGTCAAGGTCAGGTCAGGTCAGGTCAGGTCACCAAAAACAAAATATAGAAAAGGGCATGTGCGACACATGTTTTATGGGTCATTTTACTCATAGAGTTCAATAGGCACACTCAATAAGTGATATGGACCACCTCTGGATGAATTTCAGGTCGAGGTCAGGTCAAGGTCAGGTCAAGTGAGGTCAAATTTTGAAGTTGGTTGTTAAGGCCTAAAAAGGTGTCTATCTGATGCAGTTTTTCACGGCGAATCGAATGGTGCTATTTTTGTTTCCGTACGAGGTCTACAACTTCCAAAAAAGTCTTTTTCAAAAATTTTGTGTGTCGTGACGTCATACAATTTTGAATAACTCCAACATTTTTGAACCGATTCTTCTAAAACTTGGTATGTCGGTGCACATAGACCACTTCTCTGACATATATTCCGGTTTTTTTCGATACACTCAAAATTTTGGATTTTATAGTTATTTTCCCAAAAAAGTCAGTTTTTTGAAAAAAAAAATTGGACCAAAATCCAAAATTTTCAAAAAACCGAGATAGCCATTTGATAGACAAAGTAGAATTACGTATATCCTTTTTTGTTACGTCTTGATTCCTTTAAAAATGAAGATGTTAGCGGCGTTTGAACTTTTGCCGTTTTTGAGGCGAAAATGGCGAACATGACGTCACTAAAACGTCAATTTCTCAAAAACGTTCCGACGGATTTCGCTCAAAATTTCAGAGAACGTGTCAAATTGAGGTGAGAAAAGGTACTGAAAGTTTGGCGGCGCTGCGCGCCGCCGTTTTTGAGATATTGCAAATATTCACGAGGGGGGGTAAAATTTACCCCCCCAGCCCCGCGCGGGTTAAGCTAGATCCAATTTCTTTGCATGAAAGGACTCAGAATTGACTGTCCGATCAAACTGCTATCTCGGATTTTCAAAATTTGGAACATGTCGAAATTTTTATAGAATAATATTCAAAATCTATATTTTTATATTTTTTCAAAAAGTTCTTGACTTTTCGAGAAAAAAAAACGGAATATATGTGACAGAACGCATGCTTATGACTAACTCTAGCAAGTTTTAGCGAAATATCTTCAAAAATATAAGCATTATTGCAAAAAATTCACAATTATTAGTTTTTTAAATCAATTTTTCAGTACGTTTTTGACATCGTACGCCAAAATAAATAGAACCATCTTGTTCCTGAGCTAAAACTGCATCCAATAGACACCTCTTTTGTTGAAAAATTTAAATTTCAAAATTTGACCTTTTTTGACCTGAAAGTGTCCTGACCTAAGTTAAATTTGACTCAAAATGACCTCGAATGACACAGACGACATCAAATTCAAAATCTATGGCCTAAATGAACCATAAAACATGTGTCACGTGACCGACGCATGATATAATATTTCCGTGACCTGTGATGACATGACCCTGACCTGAAAATCAAAGTACAAGTTTGGTACCCTCAAGGTATCTAGAGCATCTGTTCACGAATGTGTAAACCAAAAACGAGCCTGATATGACTTGTAAGACGGCGGCCAGAGCCCAAAATATGAACAAGCCGAAATCCTAATAATTTTTACTTTGATCTGACCTGTGACGTCATCGGTGACCTTGAGGTCAATGAAATTAGGTTTCGCTCGTCAGTTTTTCAGGGCTATCAGACGCCGTTTGAATTTTGACGATCGGCCCAGTAGTTTCGGAGTTAGGAGGGGGCTATGGAGAGCCCCCCCCCCCAGTAGGGCGTGTAATACGCAGACCCCAGTGGATCGCGGGTTAATTAAGATGTACTTAAGATGTGTTTAACTTTTTAAGTACACTTTAGCAAGCAAACAAGTATATCATTCGACGCGCCTTGACGTGCTGATTTCACTGGTGCTTTTCTTTTTGCGCTATTGTAATTAGATCAAAAGTTATAAACGAAAAACTTTTGGCCTGTTTTAGTAAAAAATTTACACTTATACCCCCAAAACCCCCTAAATATTGACCTAGAGCAACCAAATTTGCACAGGGGCGAGACCTCGTATAGACCATTCTACCCTGTAAATTTGGTGTTTTAAGTGCCATAGGAGCCAATCGCCAGGGGGTCTTACCACCACCCCCCCCCCCCCTCGCCGTCCGTGTTATGGAAAAGGCCCTCGCCTGGCGAGGGTTAACCTTCCAGGCGGTGGGGGGGCATTTTTTGCCCCCCTTTTACTTTTTTCGATATATCTCGAGAACCGCTGCGCCGATCGTCACCAAACTTTCAGTACCCTCCCGGGAGTAGCTAGCGCACATGGTGTCCAAAAATTTTTCCAAAGGCTATGATAGGTTGGCCGCTAATGACGTAAGAGTGACGTCATTTTTGCCATTTTCGACTCAAAAAAAGGTTTCGCGGGAAGAGCTGTCAGGCCTACAGCTTTAGAGATACAGAAAAATGTTTAAGACATAAAAGGTGTGGAATCAAAAGGGCTACAAAACTGCTATTTCTGTTTTTCGAATTTTTTGGATTTTGACCCCCAAAAATCAAAAAATAGATTTTTTGAATATAATAGCCAAAAAATCCAAAAAGTTTTTTGAATTTCGAAAAAAAACCGGAATATATGTGATAGTCCCTACCGCCTTCTATCTACATACCAAATTTGAGATCGATACCTCTTTTTTTGGCCAAGTTATAGCGAAAAAAACTGTTCAAAATTGATGACGTCAAATTTTCAAACTCAATTTTTAGCAATTCTAGACCTTGTAGCGCAAAACAAAGACCACCATTAGACTCCCCGTGACGAGCTGCATCGAATCGATACCCATTTTATGCAAAAATATCAATTTTGAAATTTGACCTTTTTTGACCTGACCTTGACCTGACCTCCACCAGAAAGTGACCTAAACCGTACCTGATGGTCTTATAACCAACACCATTGAGTTGGAAATGAAAAACTGGCCATAAAACATGCATCACATAACCTTAGTAAAGTTGGGCTTATGTGGTGACCCTTGGTGACCTTTGGTGACCTGACCTGTGACCTGACCTGGTATGACCAGTGACCTCTAATAGCAACATATGTACTAGACAACTGACGCCTTATCGCTGATTTTCGACAAAATGCGTTTTACTCGGTGTTATAGCGCTTTCCCTAGAAGCCCTGTGAACGGTGAAACATTTTATCTTTGACCTGACCTGTGACGTCATCGGTGACCCCGAGGTCAATGAAATTTGGTTTCCCTCGACAAATTTGACAGGGCTATCGAACGCCGTTTGAATTTTCCGGATCCGTCCAGTAGTTTCGGAGATACGGGGGGGGGGCAAAAAAGTGCCCCCCCCCCACCGCGTGGAAGGTGGCTGGTAGGCCCACCGCCTGCCGGGTTAAGGTTCAGGAATTACGACTGTCGTATGCGACAGCGCGACAGCAAACAATCCGCAAACGGCGAATAGGCAGTGCATTTCGTTCGCCTGCTGACCATTTTTTTTTTCTGCGCATAATTCGTGACTAAAACACTGCAATGTAATAGTGCAGCTAAATAAAGCAACGGTGGTGTTGTGTCCTCTCCCTCGCACTCCCCTCCTGCTCCAGCTCCACCTTCCGCTAGGCAGCTGCTCCAGACACGCCCTTCTCGGTCGGCTCTGTATTCTCAACTGACAACTGCCCTCCGCCCCGGCGCCGCACCGCCGCGCCAGACACGGCCTTGACCGCCCGCCGGTCAAGGTCACCCAGTCTCGGGCCTCGGCCGTCACACAACAGCCTCGGCCGTTACACAACATTCCCTTTCCACCAACAACAAAACTAATGCTTAACTGGATGGCCGTAGAACTGTGTCTGTTTTACAGTACGGCCGCTACGAGTGCGCTGACTCGGAACTGCATCCTGCACGGCAGGGTGGCTCGGCTGTACCACCTTCTGCGACACAGCGCAGTCTTCGTCGGAACTCGGAACTGCATCCTGCACGGCATGGTGGCTCGGTTGTACCACCTTCTGCGACGCAGCGCAGTCTTCATCGGTAACAGATAATGGCACAAAACCATCACTCTCGCAAGACCTGAACCGCTTGACACAGGACTTGTTGCGGCGGAACACTTTTCCATCCCCTCGGCGAACACGTACCTGAGTCCCACGCAGTTCCAACAAAACATACGGGTTGGGAAAGAATGACCCACACAACTTAGAAGACTTATTTGGAACCTTGACCAACACCAAGTCCCCAACGCTCAACTCGGCAGGCTCTGCCCGCCTGCGGCGATCCGCGTTCACCTTTGCTCGCGCCTTATACTGTCGGTCATTGTCCCGCACGCGATCAGTGGCAGGACGAGGCTGTCCCCTGCCAATCTCCGGCATCTTGGTGCGAATGGTCCTGCCGAACATGAGCTCAGCAGGGCTGACGGCTGTAGCAGGGTGTGGCGTACTGCGGTACGCCATCAGGAACGTCACCAGTGCCGATCTCCAGTCCCTCTTCTCCGCCACAGCTGCACGGATCGCCTTGAGAAGAGTCCGGTTTTGCCGCTCTACTCCCCCATTCGCCTGTGGCCACAGAGGGGTAACTGTGTGATGACGAATGCCTCGTATTCTACAATACTCCTCAAACTCATGTGAGGTGAGATTCCTGGCATTGTCGGAGGTGACACTGAGTGGGAACCCATGACATGCAAAAGTCCTTTCCAGGGACTGCAGGATACCGGCAGTAGTAGTATCCTTCAGCACATCCACTTCCACCCACCTGGAGAACTTGTCCACGATGACCAACAGATGCTCACCACTCGGGAACGGTCCACACAGGTCCAGCTGAAGGTCCTCCCAGGGCCCGTTCGGTGAGTCTCCAGCGATGACAGGCTCTGGTGGGTTGCCTGGCGACACAATTTGGCACGCATGACACGATTTCACACGTCGCTCAGCATCGGCGTCGATCCCCGGCCACCATACTTTGCTCCGCAGTCTTTGTTTCGTTTTAACAATCCCTTGGTGACCCTCATGCGCTAAATCGAGAACCCTAGCCCTTAAGGTTGCTGGAACGACCAAGCGTGTGTCTCGCATCAGCATGCCATCATATTCGCACAATTCGTTCCGAACCTGCACGTACCCTTTGGGACATCGACGCCAATCGCCGGCAGCTACACACCTCAGAGCTGTTTGAAGCTCGCCGTCACGAGATGTCGCCATCTGTATGTCTCGGAGCGTCAAAGTCGCTGGGACAGCGTGCGCAGCAACGAAACGGATGAAGTCTTCGCCGTCATCTCCAGACATCGCAGACTCTTGTGTTAACCTGCTGAGAGAGTCAGCGATGTTGTCTTTCCCAGGCACATATTTGATTCGAAACTTGTATGGCTGAAGGCGTAAGACCCAACGTTCAATTCTAGCTGGCGGTTTTGATTTTGGAGAGTAGATGACCTGGAGAGGTTTGTGATCCGAAATCAGCTCGAACTCGATGCCAAAAAGGTACAGATGAAAACGTTCACACCCCCAAACGACTGCAAGTGCCTCCCGTTCAGTCTGGGAGTAGCGACGTTCAACATCTGACAGACTTCGGCTAGCGTATTCAACGGGTCGAAATACGCCCCCCCTGACACTGAAGCAAAACCGCTCCCAGACCCACAGGCGAAGCATCAACCACCAACCTGGTTTCTGGCGTTGCAGAGAAGTATGCCAGCGTACTGTGCTGCGCGATCCATCTCTTCAGCTCATCGAACGCCTTCTGCTCCACTGAAGTCCACCGCCATGTCGTCTTCGCCTTCGTCAGGTCCCGGAGTGGAGCTGAAACCGTTGACATGTCAGGTAGAAAACGACCCACAAAGTTGAGTAGTCCCAGGAAGGATCGTACCTCAGACGCCGTGCGAGGCTCCCTGGCGTTGGAGATCGCTCGGACCTTCTCATCCGTAGCAGAGATACCGTGCTTGCTGAGACGATACCCCATGAATGTCAGTTCCGGCAGTCCGAACGAACACTTCTCTCTGTTCAGACGCAGGCCCGCCTCCCAGAGGCGTTGCAGCACCGACTCCAGCCGCTGGGCATGCTCCTCCATGCTGGTGCCGAAGACTATGATGTCGTCAGCGATGTTCCTGGCACCTTCGCATCCGCTGATGACCTGCTGTATGATGCGCTGGTGGATTTCTGGGGCACAAGATATACCAAAAAATAGTCTTTTATATCGGAAGAGACCCTTGTGGGTGACAAACGTGGTGATTTCTCGAGAACTCTGGTCCAGCTCTATTTGATGGAATGACTGTGAGAGATCCAGTTTTGAGAACATGACTGCACCATTCATCTCGTGAAGCAGGTCGTCAATGGTAGGCATGGGATGTCGCTCACGGACAATAGCACTATTTGCTTGACGCATGTCAACACACAGCCTGATCTGGCCGTCCTTCTTGGGAATGACAACAATGGGAGACACCCAAGGGGTTGGCCCAGTCACCTTTTCGATGATGTCGTGCTGAAGAAGTTCATCCAGCTTGGCCTCCACCGCTGGCTGGACAGAGAACGGGATCCGCCGCAGTCGCTGAGCAACCGGCTTCACTTCTTGGTTGATTGCCAGTTGTAGCTGAAAACCCTTCAGCTTTCCGAGGCCTGCGAACAATTTCTCATGCTGTCCAACAAACTTTTTGTCAGATGTCACCACTCTCACCTGTGGACCGACGCGGAGTAGATCCAGTTTCTCTGACGTCTCCTTCCCCAGAAGAAATGCATTGCGCCCTGGAACGACGTAGAATACTGCAGACGTGCTCTCGTCACCATGAGAAACCTGGGCCTGGAACCTGCCAAGCACATGCATTGGCTTTCGAGAGGCATAAGAGTATAAGTTAACCCTATTAGTGGCAGGGGGGGTTGTTTTTATCCACCCCTCAGGTTTTTCGGGAATATCTCCGAAACCGCTGAAGCTACGATGCTGAAATTTTCTGACTTTTCCTAAAACTAAATTGGGCACATTCCCTGAAAATTTCAAGTTCATAACTTTACCAGGGGCGGCTCCAGAGCACTGGGAATTGGGGGGTCCTATTCGTGAAGCGAGTCATTTGGGCGAAGATCACGATGCTGCACCAGTTTTACGAACAGTGAATGAAAGGTATCATGTGATAACATATACAGTTATTGTGCATCCTGTTTTGACACGTTTTTGCTATAATAGGCGGATCCAGGCGTCCAAAAAGGGGGGTTATGTTTTACCTCCCAACATAGGTGCCCTGACACCGCCTATGCATTACCAATACAATTTTAGTCGTTCTCTCATAAGAAAATTATAACATAACAAGACCATTACCACCCTTTTTAGAAACAGTACCAACAAAAACCTTATTTACTATACTTTTTGTGTACCCCCAATCTCAATGATCTGTATCCGCCTATGATTTTTGAAAATGCATATTTTTAGGATCCATGTGAATTCCTGGTTCATTCTCTATCGATCGGCAAAAGTTGCGTTAAGATTGGTTCAGAAACCTGGCCGTGATAAACAGTCTGAAATGTATCTGCAATTTGCCCGTTTTTACCCCCCTCTACCCCCCCCCCCCCTATTGACATTTTTCAATTTTTATTTTTTAGAAATGTAGATCACGTTGAGCGAAATCGAATGCCGTTTGAATTTTGAAAATCGGCCCGTTAGATCTCGAGATATCAAGGGGGGGTCGTAAACAGCCCCCCCCCTGCCACTAATAGGGGGTAGCCAGGAGCCTGCCACTAATAGGGTTAATGCCACTGGGCTCGAGTTCAACGCCTGTGAAATTCGCTCTGAACGTATCCTCCCCCATCACGTTGCAGGTGGCTCCCGAGTCGATCAACACGTGACAGACAGCGTCACCAACCTGCACTGGGAACCGGGCAGCCGTAGAATTAGACGTGACTCCGAAGACATGATCCTCGTGTTCAGACACCACATTAGCCAGTGAGCGTTTAGCATCAAGCCGCGGTTTTCGGCACATCTTTGCCATGTGTCCTAGCTTCCCACAATTGAAACATTTTCTGCCCTGAAAGAAGCAATCTTCAGAGTCGTGATTCTTCCGGCCACACCGAAAACATTTCTGCTTCTCACCTTCGGAAGGCTCGTCTGCCTTGCGACTCCCGGTGGCGAGCCGCTGCTGACCTCTGTGACGGACGGCATGAGCCTCTGCGAAGCCGCTCTCCTGGCCTCCGCCACTCTCCATCACCTCCGCCTGCTTGTCAACCTCCTCCATCGTCCTGGCAATGGAAACAGCAGTAGCAAGGGTGAGACTGGGCTCACGCAGTAAGGCACAACGGAGCTTGTGGCTCGAACATTTATCTACCAGCTGATCCCGTATCATATCCTCCTGTAGCGGGCCATACTCACAAGTCCGTGACAACTTACGGAGGCGGGCCACAAAGCATCAACTCCTTCATCCTGGCGTTGGGCCTCTCTGCGAAAAATATGCCGTTCATAAATCACGTTCTTACGTGGTAACAATTGACCGTCAAGCACGTCAATGGCCTGCTTCAACGACTCTATCTTGACGGCGGGGTCAGACACGGCATGAAACAACTCTTGCAACTCAGACCCACCCATGTGCAAGAACAACGCAACCTTCCGAGCCTCGTCGGTAACATTTGATGCCACGAGATAATAATCAAAACTTATCTTCCACTGTTCCCACTTCCCGGGGTCCGAACAGTCAAAGGGAGCAATCGGTGGAATAACGCCGGTTTCCATAGCGCTGTGAGGCCGCTTACCAATGCCTGCAGTAGACAGATCCTCGTCGCCAATGTTGTGTCCTCTCCCTCGCACTCCCCTCCTGCTCCAGCTCCACCTTCCGCTAGGCAGCTGCTCCAGACACGCCCTTCTCGGTCGGCTCTGTATTCTCAACTGACAACTGCCCTCCGCCCCGGCGCCGCCCCGCCGCGCCAGACACGGCCTTGACCGCCCGCCGGTCAAGGTCACCCAGTCTCGGGCCTCGGCCGTCACACAACAGCCTCGGCCGTTACACAACAGGTGGGCAAACAAGAGTGGGCAAGGATACATTCCAGGAATTAACCCTCGCCCTGGCAGGGCATTTTTCATAACACGGCCTGGCAGGGGGGGGGGGTCGATGCGACCCCCCCCTCGCGATTGGCTCCTATGGCACCTAGAAACACCAAATTTGGTAGGTTGGTGGGCCCCCTGGAGTTCTCGCCCCTGTGCAAATTTGGTTGCTCTACGTCAAAATTTAGGGGGGTTTTGGGGGGTATAAATGTAAAAATTTCGCTAAAAACAGGTCAAAAGTTTTTCGCTTATAACTTTTGATCTAATTAGGATAGAGCAAAAAGGAAAGCGCCAGTGAACTCAGCACGTCAAGGCGCGTCGAATGACATACTTTTTAGCTTGCTTAAGTGTACTTAAAGTTTTTCTTAAATTTTAAGTAAACTTAAATTAATAAATTAAGTTCAAGTTAACTAAATTGCATCATATCGCATATCATTCGATTCGGCTGATCACCAGGAACACAATGCTACCATTTTTAAGCTCTAGCGTCATTATGTGCCAAGTTATTGGCAAAAACGTCATTTGACCTCAGTTGACCTCATTTGACCTGACCCATGGATAAGTACACCAAAAAAAAGAAGCACCAAGTGACCTGCTGTTAAGTACTGTGGTTTCAAAGCACAAAAGTGATAGAACGAAGCGGATATCTCCAGTATTTTCCGAATTTAGTATTTTCCCATAGGCTTAACATTACGACGTAATGACCTCTAACTGACCTCAGGTCAGTGACCTCAAAAAACCCGAACTATATGTTATACAACTCGGTGAACTTAGCACATCCTGAAAGTTTGAAGGAAATCAGTCAAAAACTGTGAGTTGGACAGGTGCAAAAAGAAAATTGAAATTTGACCATGACCTTTTACCGGTTTTTCTGACCTGGTGACCTGACCCAAGGTCACCCGGACCTGAAATTTTCAGGTCTTATGTAAAAAGGTTGCCCCATAGGCTGTGCAAAATTTGGCGGCGCTGCGCGCCGCCGTTTTTACACTA